CCACTGTGCCACTGCATCACCCATTTTGAAGACTTATATATAATATAATAACTTATAACTTGTATAATAACTTCCACTCACTATACTGTCAATGAGAATCCTGTCAATTTCAAAAGCATGGTTCACTCAAAAGAGAAAAATGTGTCTTGTTCATCTGCTGAATGCAAAATAAAATACTATGAAGAATATTGTTGACCAGGGTGTCACGGTGGCACAGTGGCTAGCACAATGGCCTTACAGCAAGAAGGTTGCTGGTTCGAGCCTTGCCTGGGTCAGTTGGCATTTCTGTGTGGAGTTTGCATGTTCACCCTGTGTTCATGTGGGTTTCCTCCGGGTGCTCGTTTCCCCCACAGACCAAAAGACATGCGCTATAGATGAATTAAACTAAACTGGCTGTCGTGTGTGTGAATACAAGAGTGTATGGATGTTTCCCAGTGCTTGATAAGTTGGCAGTTCATTCCGCTTTGATGACCCCTGACTATTAAAAAGACTAGCTGAAAAGAAAATGAATGAATGAATGAATGAATGAATGTTGTTAACCAAACAGTTGATGGTAATTATTAAGTAATTAGTACTTTTTTAACTGGTAAAGTCAGGGTTTACCATCAAAATGGCAACTACTAACATCAAGCAGCTTCTTGTTGAATAAAACAATGCAATGACAATCACAAGACACGTGTCCTAATGGAATTAGTTGAGACCTGACCACATTCTCATTTTTCACACAATCTTTACATCTGTATCCATGGCTGATGCACCACCCAAACACCCTTTCACGCTATATGTCCTTCTCTTCTAGCCAACAGTCACTTCAGATGTTTTTCTTTTCTGTGTTTGACAGCCCTTTTTCCCCTCACAAAAGGGAAGTGAGTTTTGCTGATGCAGCCTGTTTTTTTAGCTCAGTGGTTGGATGTGTAGCACACTAGAAGTGCACCAGAGAAGGAAACATGAACGCTACGGCGAATCTTCAGGGAGACGAGGAGACCGAGCTGGGCTTGGTGGGGGCCTGTGTGATCCTGGCCGTGTGTTTTATGGTGGGCACACCAGGAAACCTGCTAGTGGTCTGGACCATCCTGAAGCATGTAAAACAGCGTTCACACACGGTGCTGCTCATCCTCCATCTGGCCGCCGCTGACCTTATGGTGCTGATCACCCTGCCGCTGTGGATCTACTCGCTGGCCCGGTCCTGGGTGTTCGGAAAGGCTGCCTGTAAAGCTATGGTCTACATCATCTATTCCTGCATGTACAGCAGCGTCTTCATCATTACCGTCATGAGTGTGGAGCGATTCCTGGCCGTCAGGTACCCATTCATCTCCATCACCTGGAGAAGAAAACAAGTGCTAAACAAGGTGCTTCTGATAATATGGATTGTTTCATTTCTGCTGAGCATTCCCATCATTTTAACTCACAATCTGGGGGATGTTAATGGACACGATCAATGCATTTTCAGGGAATACGAGTCTGACACCCAGGAGGCTGTTTTGCTTATTTTAGAAACTCTTATAGGTTTCATCGTCCCCTTTTTAACTTTGCTGGTCTGTTATGGCTGCCTCTTCAGTCGCATAGTGCAGATGAACTTCAAGTCCAAGCGTAAATCCACAGTTTTGATCTGCAGCGTGGTGGTGATGTTTGCTCTGTGCTGGATCCCTCATCACATAGGCAACATTCTTTCTCTCATTTCACTGGCAATCAAGCAATCAAACCCAGACCTGGCGCAAAGTTTGGAAGACATTTGTGCCACAATGGGCATTATAGCAGGAGCCCTGGTATTTGTTAGCAGCTCTGTCAATCCAGTGCTCTATGTGCTCGCTGCACGAACCTTCCGCAGCTCACTTCGAGAAACGGGGATACAGAAGCTGTTCCAGCATCTGTCCAGTGCTGTGTCAGGAGAAGGGAATAAGGAGTTATCATTTGTGTCCAAAAGACAAAGTTCACACACCACCACCAACTCACAGTGTCTCACAGACTCAAAAAGTCAAGACGTGGCAGTGGAATCATGCGTCAGTACTGCAGACTGACCCTATCAGGTGTTTCACACCCAGGACTGAACAATATTAGGCATTTAACTATTGTTTCTCAAGCAGGAGTGCATGAAGCTTTTAAATGTAGGAGTTGTATTCAAATGCACACGTTTAAATCAAGTAAAACATTTGCTTGTGTCTTCATTTTTGTGTTCTGAGTATATTGTAATACTCGCTGAGATGTTTTAATTGACCACATATTCTATTACACAATTACTTTGACTTTGATTTTAAACCTTCATTGCCTTTATATCAGACACTTCTGTCTGATATGGGTTAGATTCCCATGGTGTCTTATGCAAGCAGATTGTCCACAGCCGCAGCTGCGGTGCACAATGATTTCAACATCTTCTTTTTCCTCACATTGCACCGTGTTTTTGTGACTCTTGTAATGGTGTGAAAGAGGAAGTGGGCATTAAAAGGAACAGAGATTTGTCTGGAAGAAGATTCTCTCTGTTACACTGAGACATTAGCTTTTTCTTCTTATATCTTGTGTAGGTTTAAATCAGAAGAAACTCACTAGGTTTTTTTCTTCTTCTACGAAATCTTTAGTTTGTTCCTTTCAGAGACTGAATTGATTGAACTGATAAAAGGCAAAAGTATTGCCTATATATGTGAGCATTAGGATGACATGCACATGCCTTGACCTGTGGTTTTACTTCTCTCTCTTTAAAGATCATTTTCATGACTGAATGAATCAGCTGAGCATTGCTCAAGATGAAACCAGAGAACGAAAGATGCTTAACCGTTTGAGTCTCACAAGAAATATTCACCTGAGTTTGCCACTCAATGAAAAGCAAGACGAGTGCAGACTAACAGTCTCTTTGGCTTTTTTTTTGAACATGGAATTAAAATCCACAGCTGCTCTTACATAGCAGTGATGCCAAAAGTAGGGCCCAAAGTTCCCCCATTGTTACCTTTGACTTGGCCCACTATCCCATCTGAGAAGAGCGTGAGTATGATGGAGAGGGTTGGGAAGAATGCCTTTCGTCCCTTCTGATTTGACAAAAGCTTTTTTGTTTGTTTTGTTGCTGAGATACAAAAAAACAGACTGACATTAAATGTTTTAATGAAATATTGTAAATGAATGAGTCTTTAAAATGTAAATACTGTCACTCAACAGACTGAGCACATCAAGGCAAAAACTACTCCATTTTCTTATAAATGAGATTGTTTTTGTTGTAATAAGTTAATTATAAGATGTAAACATATATACTGTAATAGTTAATATAAAGCAATGTTTTCTAGTTATTTTTAAATATTATTAAATACATTAGGAAATTACCCATGACAACTATATTTACCTTCAGTCCACTAGCCTCAATCAAGTTTGGTTTTTGGCCCTTCATAAGAAAACGTTTGGGCACCCCTGCTATACCCACATAGCAAAATTTCTCTGGGCCAGCTCTGGATAGTGAATTACGGTACATGAATGGACCAAGTCTGGCTTCCAGACAAGGGCCAAACATGGACCATGTCTGGGCCAAGTTTAGCCAAGTTAATAACCCATGACTGGGCCTGAACTGGGCCATTACCTGAAAGCCAAATTCCAGTAACAACACAGGATAGAATAATAATTCAAACAATTAAATCTTGATTGTTTCCTGGATAGAAATTAAGGCATTAGAAGATGCAAATAAGAAGATGGAAATTATTGTGTGTATTAAAATATTTCTTTACTCTTCTTAAAAATAATTAAAAGAATTTTGAATGTGGGTTAAGATAGGCCAAACCTATGCGGCACATATACAGTACAATTGTTAATATTTAGGACAAATATTACATTTGACATCTGGCCCATGTCTTGTGTGCTGCCTTAGACGGTGCCACCTCTGCCAAACCTGGGCCATGTGTGGTCCACATGCAATATACCAGTGCCAAATTAATGCCTGCTGGGCCAGCTTTATGCCAAATCTGGGTCAGAATTCTTTGCTACCTGGGTATAGTATACCAACTGCATGCATGAGCGAATGATGTAAGGCTCCTAAAACATGTATTACAACTATTTACTGTATACTATTGCATCAAGCAGTCAATTTATGTAGTTTTTTCGTTTGCTGTCACACTAAATTTCCTGTAGTGTGTGATTTCTGTCTGAATTGTGTCCTTCCTGGAGCTGAGAAAGAAAGAAAGAAAGAAAGAAAGAAAGAAAGAAAGAAAGAAAGAAAGAAAGAAAGAAAGAAAGAAAGTAAGAAAGAAAGAAAATTAGGCTATTATATTAAGCAAATTCAAACTTTGACAATCTCATTAGTTATGAAAAACATTTTGCCCAGGTTTATGATGTTCCTCGAATTTTAATAATTTATAGACACTTTAATATATTGAGGCAGGTTGTCGTTCAAACATGTAAAGAGTAAATCCTGCCTAACGTCTTACTAAGTAGGCTTAGTGAAGTGTGATTGGTGGCTTGAAATGCCACTCAAGCGGCTGCTCAGCGCTCATAACTGGATAAACAACTGGATATCCAGAATAAACTAATAATTGCCGATAATGTATTACCTGCTCTCTTTATAAAGTAAAAATGATATTAGATAATATATAATTTTTTTTAAAGAAAGATTATGAAAACCCACACATCTAAAATAAAAAAAACTTATATTAAAACTTTTATTCAGGCAGTTGACATGAGGTGTCCGTAGGAGTCCATGCTTTTAAACACACTTCAAATCTAAAGTTAAAAATGTAACACAATATGTATTTAAACAGCTGAAAGCACGTTTAGAAACGTATATATTTAGCAGAAGGTAAGGTGAACAGCGCGGATACACATAGGTGCTTGGCAGCAGAGAAAGTGAATCTGATCTTCCATCCTACTTCCTAGCGCGTTGCGGACCAATCAGAACGCATATCATAGACAGAGTAGCTGTACGACCCGCCCTCACCTTTACAAACCGTCCAATCAGCGGGCTCCCCCGGGAGATTGACACCAAACAGGGAGGCCGAGCCAAAGCCAGGTAACCAAGAAAAAAAGAGACAGCGAGAAAAGCCTTCAGGGCTTGTTATGGGGTTAGCGTGAGACGAACGAGGACTTTTTTCTGCCTTCTTTACCAGTCAAACCAGTAACTCTGGATCGAGAGCACACAAGAACTTCAGCAGGTAGAGTCTCGTGCCGCACTCTCTCTCGTGTCCTCCTGGAGTAATCTTCTGTCCTTCCTCGTGTACTTCAATTGAATTTCCATTTCTTTTGTTTGCTTCTCTTGGAGAAAGGTGAACCCTCGTGTTACTGTTTTATTTGATCTTTGCTCTTAATTGTAGTTTGTACCCTTGTGGTCCCTGATGGCTTCGCACAGTGATACTCTGGTGGTGTTCTTTGGGGCAACAGCTGGTGCAAATGGGGGTAAACTGGGGTCGGATGAAAGGGAATTAATTCTCTTGGTGTGGCAAATTGTGGATCTACATGAGAATAAGGTACGGACCTTTTAACCCTGATGTAAGGTCTCTAACTTTAAACAACAAACCCAGTAATGTGTTAGTGTTAGAAACCACCTTGACAGGTGACATTCACCAACGAGGTGCGCTTTCGGATAGTCAAACGCGCTAACTTGCATTATAAATCTCACAGCTACTTTTGATTCGAGTACTATCTGTTTAATTCGAGCATTACAGCGTGGCCATTTCAAGCCACGAGAGACGAAAGCGTGCCCTGTTTGCTGCATGTCATCTCCTGTAGGTCAGTAACCCTGCCGTGTCTGCTTTGCATTCACACAAACACACCGTCTGAGATATCAAAACAACCACCACCATCTACTTCATCGGTGTCAACCCAGTGAGGTGCTCGCCTAGACCGCACGGGCTCGTGGAGAGCATTGAGCATTAATTGCGTTGATGTTCTCGACGGCCAGGTGCGTGTTTAAGGGCGCGCCACTGAGAGAAACCCGCTAGAGTTTCAATGCAAGGCCGGTTGAAAGACATGCTGTTGTTAACAGGTGGGCAAACTTCACCGGACTCTAGTACAGCCGGACAGTGTGGACCTGTCGGAGCAGTGCAAGGAGGAGACCGGGCTCACTGCCGAGGAGCTGTGTAAGGCCGAGCCGCTGGAGAGCGTCCTGCAGCAGGTGAGAAGCTCCATCTGTGTGTCTGTTTGGACTGCCATTATATTATGTGTGTTTTATAGCCATTAAGCGGAATACATAATGTACATTTGGTCAAAAGTCACAAAGCACCATGTATGGGCCTCATGTTTGATTTAAATGGTTTTGCTGTGGTGTGTTTGTTAGTGGTTTTGAGTGAGTGAGGGAGGGAAGGAAAGAAGGCACAGACGCTCTGCTCCAGGGTGGAGTGCAGGTCTAGTCTTGTTGTGGACTGATGTGTTGAAGACATCTGGAAGACGGAATGTTTACCTGCGAATTCACCCACCTGAGAACCATATATGTCAATGAGTCTTGAGTAAGTGTAGGTAATGCTCATGTAAGGGTAGGGACATAGACTGTTACAATGTTCCTGTTTTTTTTGCTCTGGGTTTCCATGTTAAACTTTCATCAAGGAGGTTTGGAGTGATTTCGGCTTGAGTTTTACAGGTATGTTTTTTGACAAAAGGTGGTGTTGCCAAACGTGTTTCTCAACACTGACGCAGAATTTATTTGCACTCGATAAACCTGTTCCCACCCTCAGTGTTTCAAAATGACGCCCTCTTATTACTGTCCCACAGAAAGTGTTTACAGCTCCTAGTCTAAGTTCATCTTGTTTGTATTATTAAAGAGTCTTATTGTCATTATGACAATTAAGACATTTTGTTTTCAGACACTTTTATAACTTACCTTTGTTACGTTCAGGTGGTGGCATTTGTATGTTATCTTGATTCAGTTGTAGCCTATCCCCAGGGGGCTCTGTAAATATTAACTAGGAAATCAATTTCTCCTCGTCTACATTTCAGAGAGATAGATCATTCGCTCAGTTCAGGTTCCCCCAGTGTGTTTGTGTTTTAAAATTTAAAGCAAGTAAAAAGTTAGTTACTTAATTAAGTACATGTTGAAAGTATTATTGGTTATAAAGTACTTCACATGAATAAACTGAGTTTCTCAAAAAAATGTCTCAAATGAGGTTTGGAATTAGTATCGAATACTTGAGATAAGGTGCAAAAAAAGTCTTTATGTACCGTAAACCATACTAAGTGGTTGATTTGGGTCAAAATTGTTACTTGAAAATTTTGCATACTCTAGGTGGAATGGTCACAACCCTAATTAATACAAGATCTCAGCCAAAATTAATTAAAATATATGGTGCGACATTACCTATTGTTGTCTAGGCATGGGCTGGTATAAGATTCTGACGGTATGTTAACCTTGGATAAAAATATCATGATATTGTGCTCACCGCTCTAAAATATATTATGTTTAAATGTCTGGGTAAAAATATAAAAACTTTTTCATCCCTTTGAACACTCTATAATAAAATTTTTGAAGCAGTAAACATCTCAGGCCAAATAAACTTCTGCTGTCTTCATTAGTTTCTAAAACAGAGATTTCTTTATTTAAAACATCAACTTTGCATATTCTTTTAGTTTTTAAGGACAACCGTAACTAAAAATATTACATACATTATACCTTAGGAACGCTATTACAGAAAATGTTGGCAGTTTTTAAACCTTGACTTTTCCAAACCGCAGTATACCTTGAAAACAGTTATCATCCCATGCCTATTATTGTCCAAATAATGCCATGATGAATGCAAACCTGAATTACAGCTAAAGATGATCACTACATGACCCTGAGGAGAGATACCTGTAGGATTTTCTTCAGTAAATGTCAAAGACGTTTTGATCCAAACAGCGACTGAACTTGAAATGACCTAAACCGTACAGAGAAGTGATCTAAACGTATTCAGTCAAATTGTTCCTGAAACTGCAGTAAGGAGCTGGGGGTTGAAGAAGTGCTCCATTTCACTAAGGTATCACAACGGACCTTGGCCTGTTGTGTTCGTTTAGGAAAAAATAACCTTCATAAGAAGTTGCAGCATGATGACTAACACTAATTTTCTGACTGGTTGATAAAATCTTCTTCAACATTGCGTCTAAGTTAGGAAACAGGTACTTATCAAGATTTAGTGTGTCATAGACTTGAGTCAAACTTGTTTTGTTCTGAGCTTTAGTGGCTGGTCTGTGCTATTTGTGCTGAGTAGCTATTAACAGTAAAATTGAAGGGAAAATACATTTATAGCTGCTAGCATTTGCTGAATGACTCTCAATTTGCACCTGCTTTTTGACGCTAGCACTGTGGGAATGGTGTGGCACTAACACACCTATGTATGTGTGTAGAATGAAATTATTACTTTTAAGATCCTGAGTGTTTTTGAGGGAGAAAGGGATTTTGGGTGTGTTTGAGAGTGCGTATGTTCGCTGAGTGAGCACAGCAGACTGGCAGAAGCGTGTCAGTACCTGTGTGTGATGAGCAGAGTGCTTTATTTCTCTACAGACTGTCAATGCACTGGGAGGGTTCTGGGAAATGCCTCTATGAAAGGATGAGTGACACATTCATCTATTCTTTCAGTCAGCATTAAAGCAAAAATGCAATAATTCCTATCAATGAAAAAGTCCTTTATAGACGTTGGTTGTGGATCTCATGACTTTGCAGCATTGAATAAAATAAATAGACAGTGGATTAACTGGAAACCGGTTGTACTGTGTGAGGTTGCTGCATGAACATCCTGGTAGTTCAGCCCGGCACATCCTGCTAACTTGCCTAATGGGACTCCTGCTTTACTTCTGATTGCACAGTAATATGCAATATGAGAATACAATACATATTACTTAGCCCTACTAAATTTGGAGACCTGGGGCCTCATGTATCAACGCTGCGTACGCACAAAAACTTTGCGTACGCCAGGTTTCACGCTCAGAATCGATCACGTTTGGATTTACTAACAATGAACTGAACGTGGGAATTTGCGCAGGTTCACGGCAGCTTTCTGGCAGGCGTACGCACATTTTTTGTGCGTGTCTGTTTTATTTCCATTGGCGACTCCTAGAGGCAGTTGTGTTAAATTCTTCTCTACAAAGTGTCTGAGCCTTGCAATGGCGTCTGTATGAGACGGGTTCATATAGTAGGTATGTAAGATTTCCATACCATACAGTTGACCAGCTAAACATTAAAGCAAAATTTGCAGCGGTCGCCTGTTTTCCCAATGTAATCTGAGCTATCTACTGCACGCACATTGCTATAAAGACACTATGTGAGGATAAATTTGCATGCGTGAATCAGAAACATTTCCATTCAATAAATGTGCAAATAAAATATGATGCACAAACTTATTGATGATTCCTACTTGTCTTTCTCGTGATAAATAGTGGGCAAAATCTGATATGTAGCGGGGAAAAAAAAGAAGAATGAATTCATCAGACGCTGGATTCGAGCCGAGTTTATGCTCGAACGTGTCAGTACATGATCACATGCTTCTTATGAGGTGCGCCACTGAGACTGCTAAGAGAACTGCAACACTTTACAGATATAAACCACACTATTTCTTTTTTAAATGCACTCAGTGCGATGTTCAGACCCAACTGTGTTAACCGTATCAGCTAAACTCTCCCACTCTATTTTTTTTCTTTTGTTGTTAATTCCGCCGAACAAACTTGCAAATAACACCGCTTTTCTCCGGTCTACCTCCGAAAGCAGCACCTCCATTTCACATTCTGTTCAAAGTTTCTCTTTTGGCTTGCTTTTGCCATTGCTTTTTCGTTGGGTTTTGACATTAGCATAGTCATTAGCATATTCATACGGGGGAGGAGGCAGGGAGGGGTTTTGCGCTCGTGCATGTTGCGCTCAGTTTCACGTTCATTCGGATGTACAAAAGAATATGCGTGAGATTCGGCGTACGCAGTGTTTCATACATCTGAAATTTTTTCTGCGTACGCACATTTACAGCTTTGTGCGTACGCAATGTTTTAGTAAGATTTCCACGCAAGTCTTCGTACATGAGGCCCCAGAACACTTGAAGTACTCTTTATGAGACATTTAAAGCTCTGGGGTCAGGAAGTTCTCTGAAGATAACATTATCCTACACCTTTTTAATGTGTTTTTTAAAGGTAAATGAAGGTTAAAGGAAAAAAATAAACTGGAAGATCAAGCCAGATCAGAAAAAGTAGCAAAAGTACTTATCATAAAAAGTAACTAAGTAATGTAACTAGTTACTGTTTTGGGGAGTAACCCATTATTGTAATGCATTACTTTCTAAAGTAACTTTCACCAACACTGTATAGATGTGTGTAAGGCTGAAAGATAGCATTTTGCTCTAATTAAAGTTAAAAGTTTGCAAAAGCCATTTGAAATGCATAACTGTAATATAAATAAATACTGTAGGCTAACAATTTTGTTAAAACAAAACATTAAAATATTGGTATAATATATGACATACTATATAGTTTTTAACGTTGTATGAATATTTTCTGCTGTTTGCTGAATTGGTGGTGTAAAAACAACTGATCTTTATGTTGTATGAAATATCTGACATCTTACATCTAACTGAGGTCATGTGATCATAAACACTTGTATTTTTAATATTTTAATATTTTATAAATAAATAAATAAATAATAATAATATACGTATTTTTAATGGCTCTATAGATAACTCTCCTTCAAGGCACCAAAATGCAATTTGGAGTTTGGTTTCTTTGTGTATAAATACAACACACACACATACACAAACAATTGTTTACCAATTTAGTTATTACATTGCTTAGACCTCCATTGTGTTTATCTGCCAGATTAATAATATTTCCTATGGCCTAACTCTACCCCTAAACCCAATCCTCACAGACAAGTGCAAAATTGGTAAACTCAAATGAAACGTGTACTGGTCCACTTTTTAACTGGTCAGAAATGTCCTAACTAGTGGGTTGTCATGATATTTCACTTTATAAAAGAGGACATTTGGCTCTCATGAGTTCAGCTAAACCAGTACACACACTAAGCAAACATGGCCCCAAAGGACTCACCAATTGATTGTGATTCCATAGATCAGTTTTCTCCCTCATTCTCACTGACAGAATAGTAGAGGAGAATGTGAAACTGAAACCCAGATCAACTTTAAATACCATATTTATCTCATCCTCACCACATACATTTTTTTTTCTTTTTATTTTAGTGCACAAATGTTTTTTCCAGGTTTTGATTTGATTACATTTTTAAATTTAGATGTCATAAAAATAGTGTAGGTGAATAGTGAAATGCTACCTTCATATCTTGCTTTTCACTGGAGTTTGATCTTCTCTCTCTAACTGTGTGTGTGAGCAGTGAGCACAGGGTGTGTCTGTGTTTTAGCCGAACGTTTGTGTAGCAGGAATTACGTTTGCACTTAATTATTGCAGGTGCTAATTTGTGCAAGGCGGGGCTGAGCAGGGAAAACTGTCATAAACACACTAATTAACTAAAGTCAATGAGTTAATATTTATGTACAGATTGTGACCGCGTACCACTCAGGTTTACCTTAAGATTACCTAAAATGAGATGTAAAGCTCTTGAATTATATGTTGAATAGAATTATCTGGTATTTGCGAAAAGTCTCTTTAAGCCCTTAATGACTAACTGAAGCTTTGTATCGGCATGAGGTATGAAGATGGACAGGTTATGTAGAAAAACAACACGTCACAGTACAAGAGCATGATGGGAATGTAGCAGAATGTGCTGCCATTTTGACTTCACATGTACAGCGTGTAGATGCAGCACCATCTTTTAAACTTTTGTCAGTTGCGTGTTGGTTGCTCTTATGTAAAGGCAATGTTGGCGTGTGTTATCAGTACTGGCCCAAATGATATGAAAATTAGGCCATAAACGTGCTATCTGTTCTCCTTTTGCATACTGGAGTCTTACACATAGCACAACAGTTCATGCTGTAATTCACTATGGATTGACTTCAGTTGTGCAAATGTCATGTTTGATCTGCTGTCACAACAGTACATTTAATACCATGTATAAATAGTTTTTTAAAATGCTATTCAACATAATTTCATTTAGTGGCTATGATCAGCCCTCACTAAAAAAATCTTAGACATTCCCACTGCTCCGTATTACCTATTTTCCGTGTTTCTTTGTTGCTGTCATGTGAACAACGTCATCAGTTTTGGCACCATTGTTGGAGGATAACCCGAACTGCTGTTGACTGATGCAGAGATGGATAAGTTTACTAAACATCTGTAATGGTTCATTAAAGACTGTGTTTCTGCTAAACACTGGTAAATGTGGGAGCCTCTATAGTTGTGAGTGAGCAGGTGGTGTGTTTATTGAGCAAAACAAACGCTCTTCATTTGTTTTGTCATCTGTCTCTACTTTATCTGTAATGACTGGCAGAGCCACGACTCACTTCCTGTATTTCGACCAAACCAGTCTGACCAGCTGCTTATTCTAGAACAAGCATGCGCATTAACACTTTACAACATGCAGTGAGTGACCTTTGGGATGCCCTTGACATTGCAATAGAAAGTTCAGTAGTATTCGCCTATATTTATTTATTTATTTATTTATTTTTATCTGTCTGATGATCAGAAGATATTTAACAAACTGTCATTGCCAATAATAATTCTTTCACAGTGTCACTTGTGATTGTGTGAGATTCTGGCTGTGCTCAGACTTTTCAAATTGCAGGAAGAAGGTACTTTAATTTTGCACTAAACAATAGCATTCAAAATTGCTTATTCAAATGATTTGTGTCACACTAAAGACTCATGAAAAATAAAAGCTACTAAAAATTCTGTAACTAAAAAAAGATTGTTTAAGGGGGTATTTAATTTAAATCTTTCTTCATACAAAATAGGGCTGAACAATATATCGTAAGCATCAATATCAGTATCAATTTGTATCTGCAAGTCACATCGCAAAATAAGATTATATATAAGAGATAAAGCTATTATTAAATTGTATATATTTTTTTATCATTTATTTGTTCAGTTATTTGTATCATTTGTTCAATGTCTGTACTTGAATACTGTTATACTCCCAAAAATCATAACATAACATAACATAAATCAGTTTATCAATTTTTGCTTGTTTATTTTAAATTTCATTTATAGTTTATTTTAAAGTGTTTAAATATTTTTATGCAAATACACTACGTAGAAAAAGAAAGATCATTCCAGTCGATCCAATTTAATTAAATCTTTCCAAATATTCAAATCATCTGGTAAAATTGTATTCATATTGCAATATATATATCATAACAAAACAAAAAATTGCAATGTCAGACATTTTTCCAATATCGTGCTGCCCTTTTATTCATTCATTCATTTTCTCTTTGGCTAAGTCTCTTTATTAATCAGCTAACCACTGTCCTATTTTGACGCCAGGGGCGGACTAGTTTCCCCACTGGGCCAACGTACTTTTTGTGATTGATCGGCCCATAAAATGCTTACCAGCCTGTCATTTTTTTCTGCCTAATTAATTCACAATGATGCTCTGAAAGTAAGATGTTTTTTTCTTTTTCCGACAAACCGGCCTATGTGACATAATCTGCAGCCCATTGGTTCTTTGCTTTATTGACATTTAACTGATCTAATCACAAACACCCAGTTTGGGCTCTGTGTGAGCGTGCAACGATGGTGTGTATTTGTCAAAATAGTTAAAAGTCATGCCCAATTCAGACAACACACGTGCATATGGACAGCAGAAGCAACGCACATCTAGTTACATGTCTATAGAAAACTTTTTTTATTTTTACATTTTATCTACTTCAAGGCCCGCGGCAACTTCCTCCCATGCTGTTTCCTTAACCTGCAACTTTTTATTTTACTAAAGATAAAAGAACTAAAGAATCCTAAAGAACTGAATGCTTAAGCTCTGAGTGTCATTTATGTCTTTTAGGGTGCACTCGGTCAGAGGACAATCACCTGTGATAACATGACATTTCGTTTGAATGCATGATGTAGGCGTATAGTTACAATAATATTTATACAATATGGTTAAAATTATATTTATACATGATAAAACTAGTATGTGTCTTTTATTTTTTTTTGCATTTTAATCGTTAAATCGTTTAAGTTTATTTGATTGACTATACACAATCTTTTATCCATGTTTGATGTTTCATTGTTGAGTTAAGCATTTAAGGGTCTCGGACACTTTGCGTTTATTATTTAACTTTATTTTGTTAATCAACATTAACTGTGTGCATCAGCAGGCAGTTTTTGTTATGTTCATTATTTAATAAAGGCTTCCTCAAAACACACAGGCACACACAAGATGAATTCCAGTGTGGATTATAATTTTGTTATTATAATACATTTTTAATACATTTATTTGTGTATTTTTATAAGTTTTTTTTTTTAATTTGTCAACTCTTTTAATTTCCTATATATGGCTTTTATGCTTTTATAAAATAGGAGTTGGTAAACATACTCAAGGGCGTGCACAGATGAGTAGCACTTTGATTGTATGTAGTGGGCCACTCTGGCCCAAAATGCCAGGGTCGATTTATTTTGTCATTTATTTATTTATTTTTATTTTGTTTATGTTTGTCCCAGTCCAGCCCTGCATGATGCTCAGCCCTTTTATTTTCTTCCGAAAAAGCTGAAATTTTGGAAAGTTTCACAAGCTAATTTCACATGAGCATGTGATATGATTGATCTTGACTGGTAGTCAAGACTAGTCTGGCCTGGCTAGTATTACTTTCTTATCTTCACTTTTTTGAATAATCCCTCAATCCACCCCATCTCCCCCTTTTCCTTCTTTACCAGGGGGAGCTCAATAATTACCTGATCTCAAAACCCCTCACACGCTCATCAACCAGGCGGTAGCCCTGGGGTCAGTTATTTCCGAGTTCAGGGCTCAGGGATATTATTAAGCAATATCTAAGTGTGAACTCTTGAAATAAATGTATAATAGTGCTAATAGTAGGATTTATTTTGTCTGTCTTTCTCTGTTTCTGTCTGTAGTTTCACCAGTCCGTGTCAGCTGAACTAAAGTCACTGGGCCGAAGCTCTTACACACTGTGTGTTGACGGGCCACTTCTTATTCGACAGGTGCTTCACCCTGAGGCTTCTAAAAAGGTAAATTACCTTCCAAGCTAAAAACGCTTTCCTTCTTGTGTATTTATGCTTTATTCACTCTTACTGATGGCTGTTTAAGGTGTAAATGAAAACCCTACTGTATGTGTTCAACTGTGCATAATTTCTTCTGCCATTTCTAAATTAAGCTATCAGTTTGTGTTATCTGTTTAGCAGCAACATGTTATAATCTTCACAGGAATGTTGTGCTCATCCAGAAGACAATAAAGCACCCAATCCGTTCTGCCTTATACATTTTTCTTCTTCTTTACAGTTTTCCTTTCCCTGAGGCTCCTCCTAAACATATTTTTCTGCTCGCTTTCCTCTCATTTGCCTGTGTGTGTCTTGTTGTAGAATCTAGTCCTGCCAGAGTGCTTCTACACATTTGTAGACTTGAAGAAAGAGTTTCACAAATGCTGCCCCAATGCAGGACCAGTCAAAGACCTCACACTGCCGTCCATGCTGGACTGTATCCTACATATGCCTTTTTTTCAATGCAAATACTATTTATTTAAGTATAACAAATTAAGATGAATGCCATTTTTGGGGGATTTTGTTCAGTTCATTTTGAAGCACCTATTTTGGCAATTTTCTAGGAGTGTGAGTGTGTGTGAATCTGTCTTGGTGTACAGTATGGCTTGTATACACCTTGACATGCTGTCAGATGTGTGCATTCAAGCCACGGTGGAGCAAGAAGCCGGACTGAGGGAGGTGAAGGACATGGTTCTGCTAATACTTCATGTCCTGGCTGAGCCTTACAGTGAGTGACCCCATATAATAGATTGATCTGTGCCATTTAAGCCTAAAGTAAATGTTTTTTTTTATATACTACTCTATGTGCGCAGTCAAATGCACAGCCTTTTTTATTTGATCGTGTGGCACTCCACACTTGCAATTAGGGCTGAGCGATATGACAAAAATGCAATCTCGGTAATTATTTTCCATATTGAAGGATGACGATGTATGTTTCGATATAAGATCTTAATGCCTCTAGATTTTAAAGAGTACCCCAACAATAACTGAAGCCACAAGAATTGGAGAGTCCATTAAATGGCATAACATATTTTCGCCCTGTAAGTTTTAGGTGGGGGAAAAATTTGTTAGATCTCTAATATCAGCACACTTAGATTCCCATTGCTGCACATTTTTGCTGTATAATTGGCTCTTAGATCAATATAGAGTAAAAAAGCTCCAAGCTTATCATTGTTATTTGTTTTATTATAAAGGATCACCCCAAGTTTGCACTTTTTTCTCTACAAATTTATGAGAAATGAAAAGATACCCTTTTACACAAGCACTTTTATGATAATTAACAAAAATTTTGAAAGCTTGTTGAAATGATACATTTTTCTGATGTAAATGTAAACACGTAATCTTACAATTTAGCTAAATTAGTTTGATTTGCAAGTGGCTTATGGCTCATACATTATCCTATGATGCAGTACTTACTTATTGTAGCATAAGTACAATATTTTCATTTATTTATAGTATTGTAACTTGTACTTCTGCTTAGATGAGAATATTTTTATATTTAATCTTTTGGTCAAGAAAAAAGGGTCTGATTTTATGCCATATTTTCTCCATATTTCTCCATGCCATATTTTCATGCATTTAAATCTTTAATCAGAAATTCTAAACATGTTAGTCACATCATGCATCTGCACTTTAGTAAACTGACAGAAAACAGCTTGATGTGCTTACATGTTGCATGAAATCAACGTAAGGTTCAAAAATATAGCTCTCCTTAAGCTGTTTATGACCTTACCCTAATAGGAAGAAAAGTGGTGTAACGAATTTACATGAGCTTACAATTTAATTGGATTGAAAATATGCTTGTAAATTCTCTTGTTGCTTCCGATGTTGTTCATGTTTTTTTCCTTTGTAGATCACAAATTCTCTGCCTTTGAGACTGTAAACTACAAGTTTGAATCTGGAGCGTGGTATGTACTAATGACTATGTCATTAGTTTAATTGCTTGACCACAAATTTTGCAATTAACATCTGTGGGGTTTCTCATGATAAACTGTGTGTCTGCATGTGTGATTGGCTTCCAGTAGTAAGACAGAAGCTGTGGACAGTGAGACGGTCATCAGAGCTCGTGGGCTGCCATGGCAGTCGTCTGATCAGGACATCGCCCGTTTCTTCAAGGGCCTGAACATTGCCAAGTAAGATTACAGCTCAGCGTAACACTGAAATGCACACTCACAATGGCATGGAGCGTGCACTCAGAAAAGACCCTTAAGTACACATTAACAGTGTAATGCAAAACTTAGTAAGAACTTGAAGGCAAATCTAGCCAAATGTCACATCAGGACTTTAGCTAGTGAAAATGCAGGTTTTCATGGAATGTCAAAGCTGATTTGTTATGAGCACAATTCAAAAGACTTTAACTAGTTTTTAATTGCTGCTTATATTCCTTTGTGTGTGTGTGTTTTTTTTTTTTTTTTGTGCATACAGAGGGGGTGTTGCGTTGTGTTTAAATGCTCAGGGTCGAAGGAATGGGGAAGCTCTGGTGCGCTTCATAAACTCTGAGCACAGAGACATGGCACTAGATCGGCACAAACACCACATGGGCAGCAGATACATTGAAGTGAGTTTACTTCTTCACTGCACCCAAACCAGGAGTTTGTTTTATTTAACTGTCAACTGACCCCTTGTTTAGTAATGCTCACTTAACATCTCAAATGCTCCTGATTGCTTTGCTTACACTGATTTTTTTGCCATGACAAAGCTGGCTTGCTAAAGAAGCTGCATCTTTAAAACACTATTTTCACATTATATTAATGGATTTTCAGCAATCTGATCTAGAGGATCTTGTGACCCAGGACCATAAAATCATTTCATTTCTTTCATTTCATTCATTCATTCAATTCATTCAATCACTGAAATTTATACATAATCTGAAAGCTAAATGATGTTAGTTATGGTTTGTTAGAATAGGACAATATTTGGCTGAGGTGCATCTAAATATTGTGACAATTGAAATTAAGAAAAATCTATAATTTGGACACTCCTAATATAATTTTGGCTATAGCTGATAATGCACTCATGCAACAAGACTATAAGATTGCATAAGATATAAAATATTTTAAACCATTTAAACACAGACACCATCTCAACTATTAATTTTTTTATTTATTTTGTTACAAACTTTTAAAATGTTCACAGAAGTACTTGATTAAGACTTTAGTGTTTGGATGTAAACGCTGTTGTCTACAGTATCACAATCTGTATTAAATCTGAAAACTACTTAACACTTCAAAAGAAGGTTGTTGTAGTAGTAACATTCTATGCCAGTAGGTGACGACAAGCTAACATATATTTGTTAGTGATGATAATTAGTTCAAGATAATTAAAAAATGCTGTATGCATCTTGCATAAATATGAGGTCTTAGAGTGAGGTATTGAATTATTTATTCAAACTGATATAAAAAAATGTGTCTGTTTGCATTATGATCTCCTTTTGGATTACAATTCTCAACATCTAATGTCGGTAGTTAACACAAAGCATTTTTAAATACATCCCATAATTTCTAAAATATCAACTTCTACCAAATGGTTTGTCATTTTTATGGTAAAGGTACTTAAATTAATACATGTACTATGAAAATATGAAGTGCAAGACCCATTTATTTAAAAACATAATCAAAATAAAACATTTTTGAATGCTTAATCATCTTTAGTTTTATACCATAAAATATTTCCGATTTCATTTAACATGTTTTCTTGTTTAATTTATTTTACCAATAAAACCAAAATCAAGTGCAGTAGTGCAACAGGATAGTGTTTTATTTTATTGATTTATTTTTTTTAAACCAACAATGCTGTGTAGTATAAACCATTATTTAAAACAGCCAAATTATAGTTAACCATTTGGTAGAGAACCAAAAAATAATGGTTTTCAGTTTGTCTGTGTTACAAGAGGCTGAGATGCATTTCCACTATAATCTACATGTGTATTGTGACCATGTGTTTAGTATTCAGAAAAACTTTATGAAAATCCTGTTTCGTCACTGTCACTTAGTGAGAACATTCAGTGTAAATAAACCCTTGTAAAACCTTATTTAAGCTTGTTGGAATGCAAGTGAATGAAAAGGATGTTAGTAGTAAGTGGTGCACCACACAGCGAACTAAGAATAACTTGTCTTTTTACTTTCACCTCGTCGTAAAATAATTATGTTCTGTCAGTATGCTAAGTGGAGTGCAGGCGTTCTTTGTCATCGAATACATTTGAGCAGCCATAGTGCTTGTACTATGAAAGCAATCCTACTAATTGCTGTTTTAGTGATGGCATTTGGCATTAGAATATCAAAATGTTTCAGTGCTCATTCATATCTAAATTTTATATTGTTCACTTGTGATCAGATAATTGATGACCCATCTTTATGCCAGGTTTAAACAGCACTTAAATGTCATTCCCTTTAATGCATCATCACTAAGATCTGTTAAAACGATTGTCAGCTTCTCTTAGTGGACACATCTGTAATTGGCGCAATGTGATGAATACAGTTAGATATGGTTTTGTGATTAACTCATGCCACTTTGTGTTTGTTTCAGGTTTATAAGGCGACCGGGGAGGAATTCCTGAAGATTGCAGGAGGTGAGACATTTACATGAGGTCTTCAATTCGAGCAGACACTTTACATTTTGTGGCGTAAATCTCCATTTGTTTTGCGTGCGTGCGTGCGTGCGTGCGTGCGTGTGTGTGTGTGTGTGTGTGTGTCCCTCCATCATTTTCCCCCACTCTGTGGAAATGAAAGACTCTTTGTAAGTGTCTTGCTGACTCATGTTGGGCAGGTAAAGGGGGAAACTCTACTCTCCTTCCCTCCTGTCCTGTGATCTGGCTGGGTCACAAAGAAAGTGAGCTTTTTCCCTTAGGGATGAAGATGGGTCAGCAGCCTCTGAAAAGCTTCACACACAGCAGGTGTAAAAGAGCAGCGGCCTGCCGAGATATCATTACAGAGCGTGTGGATGTGTCTGCTGAAAGCTTTTAGGGCAGCAGAGAGCATCAGTCTGTGACTTCCTATTTTAAATGTACAATTCCTCTTCTTTTGATAGGCACTTCCAATGAGGTGGCTCAGTTTCTGTCCAAGGAAAACCAGATGATAATTCGCATGCGTGGGCTTCCATTTACTGCTACTCCTCAGGATGTTCTGGGCTTCCTGGGACCAGAGTGTCCAGTGACTGATGGGACGGAGGGGCTTCTGTTTGTGAAATATCCAGATGGACGTCCAACAGGCGACGCTTTTGTTCTCTTTGCTTGTGAGGAATATGCCCAGAATGCCCTGAAAAAGCACAAACAGATCCTGGGCAAGAGATACATTGAACTGTTTCGCAGCACTGCAGCAGAGGTCCAACAGGTATTGATGCTTTTAACTGAACACTCAGAAATTTAAGTATTAACATTTATATTACAGTTACTTATTCTTTAGGTAGCCATTAGTAATAGAATTATTTTTGTATAGGCAAGATTTTCATCAGGGTTTTTAATCATTTCAATATTCAGACTAGAATGAGCTGGATGTTTTCCACCATGTGTTTTTTTTTTTTTTTTATGTAATGTGCATTTATTGGGTATTGCCATACATTCAAAGCACTTTAAAATTGTGTGAAGGATGGGGTCTTTTCACCACCAGCAGTGTGCATTCTGTTAAGAAAACAGACATTTTTTTTTTTTCTGAGCTTAATACTTTAGTTGTTGTTTTTTCCATTTATTCGCAAAATGATGCAGCAGCTGATCAGCATGATCAGCAGACCGTACACATGCACACATTGATTGCAAAAATGTAAATTAGTGTTACAACACTTTCTAATTTCCAACACATCAGCACACAAATGTATTACCGTTTGACCTTTTAAATTCTGACCAATCCTATTAAAACAGTTTTAATCTTAATAATACTTGTAGTCAATTACAAAAAGTATCAGTGGGTAAAAAAGCTGAACAAAAATATATTTTTTTAGATATTCAGATGACAACAGAAAATATTTTTTCCACCAATTCCTAGCAATGCATTTTTGCTGCTCTGTATTGCTATTGTGTATTTGTATATGCATGTCTATATATAAGTGTATGACATAAATATATAATTTAATCCCAAATATAGTGAAAATTAGGCTTTATTTAATTACCTTTTACAAATAGTAGTATATCTGATGATTAATCAGGACTGAAATCCCCCAAAAAACTGTTTATTTGAAAGACTAGAAGATCTTGTCAACTTGACTTTTTTTTGTCTTATAAACTAGGTGTTGAATCGCTATATGTCCACTCCACTGATCTCCACACTTCCACCTCCTCCTCCTCCAATGGTGTCTGTGCCAGTGTTGGCCACTCCACCCTTCATCACCACTGGCAACACACGCGACTGCATCAGGCTGAGAGGCCTGCCGTACACCGCCGCCATCGAGGACATCCTGGAGTTTATGGGGGAACACACCATTGACATCAAACCTCATGGAGTGCACATGGTCCTCAACCAGCAGGTGCCTCAGAAAGGCCTGATGTTTCTCGAAACTTGTCATGGGGTCTTTAACTTATGTTGAGTATTTTTGTTCTTCTTTTTAGGGTCGACCCTCTGGTGATGCCTTTATTCAGATGAAGTCAGCTGACCGTGCATTTATGGTGGCTCAGAAGTGCCACAAAAAGATGATGAAGGATCGTTATGTGGAGGTTTTCCAGTGCTCCACTGAGGAGATGAGCTTTGTGCTGATGGGGGGAACACTGAACCGCAGCGGTCTGTCACCACCTCCATGCAAACTGCCATGTAAGAGACTGCCTGAAAACCCCTATTCTCAGTGCATGCAATCAATATTCCAAAAATATTTATGCATAATACCAGTTCCAAACCACAGTTGACAATTAAGGGTTGGTTTAATTCTAGGTTTAACACCTACCTTTTCATCTTCATTCTTCCCTCAGTTGAGTGTGCTTTACTTCTAGTCGTTGGTAAAAATTATTCTACATCACTTTACATTAATGGTAACATGCAACATGAAGAGTAGTAATAAAGGTGTAAAGTACTTTGGATATTTAAAAATGTACTTGAGTAAAAGAATTTATGAGAATATGGATTTGCATAATAATACACACACAGTATGGCATTGGTTATAAGCCTGATGTTCTACTTTCACAGTCTATCATTTATTAATTTCATTTTCTTTTTGACTTAGTCCCTTTAATAATCCAGGTTCGCCACAGCAGAATGAACTGCCAACTTATTCAGCACGTTTTTACGCAGCGGAAGCCCTTCCAGCTGCAACCCATCTATGAGAAACATTCACACACACTCAGTCACACTCATACACTAGGGACAATTTAGCCTACCTAAATCACCTGAACCGCATGTCTTTGGACTGTGGGGGAAACTGGAGTATACAGAGGAAACCCACACGAACTCCACACAGAATTGCCAACTGACTCAGCCAAGGCTCAATCCAGCGACCTTCTTGCTATGAGGCGACAGCACTACCTACTGTGCCACTGCATTGCCCTACAGTCTATCATGTAATAGCTAATCAATGGCCCATTTTACCACTAACATCTTGTGGACAAACCAGGTAGTGCACAAACTGTTCAGAGTACAAATGTGAGCTGCTCATCCATCATATGCATGGTTGGAAAGATCAAGCTGTGTGCATAAATTAAGCAGTTTTAATAATCATTACAATTCACGGTAAAACTCACAAGTCACTGATTTAAAATGTGGTCTATCGGTTTCTTTTTATAAACAAGCAAGATTTCACTCTTGTTTGCTCTAAAATCTGTGTTCGGCTCAAGTACAAACCAGTTAAAGAAGCACCAGTGCCATATGGGCACCAGGTTTCTGTATCCAACCTTGGTTGTAAAGCCTTTTTTCAAATGTCAAATTCTTGTAGTAAACCGCATGATAAGATGAGCTCGTTAGCGGTATCTAGTCAGATGCAGATCTGTATGTTGTGTTCTAGTCTGCACTCTTCTGCTGCCATTGGCACGGCTGTTTGAGCTTCAGTTTCAGATTATCTGCTAGAAAGCAGTGTGATCACCTCTGTCACAGATCTAAAGGTGCAACATTTTGGCATTTAGAAAGAGCAAGCCTGTTGCAGCACTAAAGGAGGGGCTGTTTGCTTAGTTATTTGATCTGGTTGTTTGACCTTGGCTTGAGAATTAGCCGTATGTGCTCACGCCACATCAGAGGAGACACTGGTTGTCCCTGTGCCAGTTCAGCTAAATATACATGACATTCACACACTCCAGCAAGGTTGGCTCCTCTCATTTTCACCAAACCACACAAAGTGGAAATGCTAAAAAGTTAATTTACTTAGTGATGATGCATTAGTTAACAAATTTACTAGGGCATCATAATAGAACTTTTTTTATCCTGTGTCTTTCAGGTCTCTCTCCACCAACATATGCTGCGTTTCCTGCGGCTCCAGCTATGCTTCCCACTGAGGCAGCGCTGTATCAGCCCCCCCTGCTGGCCACTCCAAGAACTCCACAGGCCCCAACACACAGCCCTGCACCTGCTTTCGCCTACTATTCTCCACAGCTCTACATGAACATGAATATGAGCTACACCACCTACTACCCCAGGTACCACACTTACACAAGCTGGCTTGATTGGATAAATAAGACCTTTTAGCTTTTGTCTAAATTCACTTGATGCCATTTAAAGATACCTTTTAAGGCTGTAATTTTACCTGGTTAAGTTTTGTTGTTAGGAGTAACATATCTGAGATTGTCATTTAAGCATCTTTTAAATGAGCAATATCATACGAGTAGCAGTGTGATATGGCTGTAGGCACTGGTGGGAGGCATGCGTGCCTTAGTGTCCCACCAGTGATGATATACAGCCATTTCGCACTGCTACGCGTGTAATATTGTGTTCATCCAACAGTTTAACATCATCGTTTGTATAATCAAACACAGAGTCTCGAATTATTTTGTACAATGAACTACTTTCTTCCGCCATTCATTCACATCTGCAGCTGACGTCAGAACAGAAGTCATTACTAATTCACCAACATCACTTTAGAGCTAGTGTTTGAATGTCCGAAGTGATGACAAAACTTGAGCAAAATCTCTTTGTTTTTTTTTTTTGTTTTGTTTTTTTTTTTTTCCCACTATTTCCCTGTTGCAATCGGGGGTCACAAAAATTAACACCGGAAAAAGCCAAAGCAAAGCAAGCACTACCAGAGTAATGGTATAAATACAGCACTACAAAAGACAGAGTTCGATTTAGAGCCACTTACCTCTTTTATAATGATTAGATAATAGGAAATAGGAAAAGAAAATGCTGAGTTTTTCTTCCCTATGGCCTTATTTTGGGTTTTTGTTTTATTTTTTATCTGTAACTTGTGGCACAACCATTTTTGTTTTGCTTTGTATTTCAGACTGATGGCCACCAATATCCAAAATGATAAAAAAAAAAAACATTTTAAATAAGCAATATCCTTTAAATAAACGGCATAGTTGCAATCTAAACAACTACATTCTTACTTAAAGTACCTTATGTTGTCCAACAGCTGCAATATTTGTCAAACTGTAGTGAGTTTTTTGATCTGCTGTCACTCTATGTGGGCGGAGAAATAGACGCGGGTGAAGTGGCTGAACGAGTTCTGATATTGCAGAATATTGCACTGATATCAGCCAGTCGGATTCAAGAACCAGACAGAACTGTTAAAATATTTAGTATTAAATAATACTCTAATATTTAGTATATTTATATGTGTCTCTGCTGTAAGCTGTTAATGAGAATCAATTGCAAAGTTGTTAGCAGTAATACACTAAAACCGTTTTACTTAGTAATTATTTTTCAAAGGTACAGTTTCAGTATAAAAAAAAAAAAGCTGCTATAATTTTACCACAAAATCTGCAGAAGCTGGCATGGCGTTAAGATAATAATAAAATTTGTTCTTAAAAATAATTAAGTGTTTTGAAAATCATTGATACTGGAAATAATTTAAAAAAAAGAAATATTCAATATTAATATTTTTTAGTTTACTGTATTTCTAAACAAAAAAATGCGTCTTTGGTGAGCAGAAGAGACTACATTTGCAAGTCTAATTGTGTCATATAACTAACTAATCAACGGATATATGTATCCACATCATAATGCAATATGTTGCCATCAATGGTAGTAAATCTTTTTAAATTTTGTCTCCAGCCCGCCAGTGTCTCCCTCCACTGTGAGTTATTTTGCAGCGCCACCGGGTTCAGTCGCAGCTGCTGTAGCAGCTCAGCCCACCCCTGCCATCCTCCCTCCTCAGCCCGGGGCACTGGTGCGCATGCAGGGCCTGCCGTACAACGCCGGGGTCAAAGACATCCTCAGCTTCTTTCAGGGATATCAGGTGACTGCACTTTCTGCTGCTCACTCACTCATTCATTCAGCTTCTCAAGTTCAAAAAACAAAAAAAACAAAAAAGTTCTCCTTTCACCTAAGACCTTACTAGGGCCCCATTTCTCATGGCTAAGCAACAAACAGCTTAAGATTGTTACACTTCTTCTTTCTAAATGTGCCACTGTTAAGATTCTTGCACGCTGAGTCAAACATTTCATATGTCTTCATTTTATCCTAAAAAATGTCACAGTTATACATAGAAATGTTGAAGACAGAGTTTAGTGTGTAATAACAATATATTAAGAACAAATGCAATTTTTATTATAAAAATAAATAAATAAGTAAATAAAATGGACTCTTCAGGCTGAGGATGATGTTCTTGTACTTTGTTTAAAAACACACACAAAAAAGCGAACCTATTTGGCCAACCCAGTCCTGAGATTGTGTAGAAGGAAGGAGAGTTTCAGCTCCTTATTAAGATTGAAAGTTTTCTTCAGTGGCTCAATTTATTGCTTTGCTCGTGATTCTGGAGCTACATTTTAAAAAAGACCACCGCTGGTCTTCACAACAAATAAAATGGAGAATGTAAAGACACTATATAAAGAAAAGCTAAAGTACTATTATTGTGAGATGAACCTATGAAATGCTTGCTAGAGTTGCGAAAAACAGTATATGAAACTCAATTAGTTTTAATTAGCATCGTTATGCCCAATAAAAGTTGAGGCAGTGAGAATTTTGGATTCAGTGTGCAAGAAATGAATCCATCTTAATAATATTATTTACTACATAAAACTAAGGAAGAAGGGAAAGTTTAGTGTTAGCTGCATGAGCTTTCTATAGTAATAACAATAAATTATTGTGAATTACTCGTAACAACGACAGCGTATATTAAAGTGGTACAAAAGTTCTAGAGCAGTGTTGAATGCTGAATCCTTGTGTACGTTTTGTCCTCTCATTAGCTGACACCCTATTAGCCGGAGGCTTCAAAGGACGGTATGATTCCTGCACTCAGAGAAGAGGGCTATAAAAGTCTGAGGGAGGGATGCTTTGTTTTGGGCATGGGTTTCTGTGTGTGTGCGTGCTTTCTTTCTCACAATGTAGAGATGTATATTTGTGGAGGTTTTCCAAATGTGCTAGTGTACTTTATATAGTGTGGTGGGTACGGGCTCCTCTTTATTGGAGCGGTGTGCGAGACACTGTTCACTAAGTGTAGCGCAGCAGCACGTGTGTGTGAAATGCAGTTCAGCTTTGACTTCTGGCTGAACCGGTGAAATGGATCTGAGCCCAGTTCAGCTTCCAAGTGTGCTTTTAACCTCTCATAGTAAATGCACACTACAGCCTCTGTGTGCGGGATGTGTTTGTTTTTTTTGGCAGGTGGTCCCTACCTCTCTCTCGCTCTCTTTCTCTCTCTCTCTATCCATTTATCTATCCATATCTCTATCTCATCTGTCCATCTATCTCTCTCAATCTCTTCATCTTCTCTCTACATCTATATCTCTACGTCTTCTCTATCAACCTATCTTTCTATCATCTCTCACTCCATCTATCCATCTACCATCCATTCATCTCTCTCTTGTTCAGCCATCTATCATCCATCTCCATCTATCTATATCTCTCTCTCTCTCTCTTATCCATCCATCCCTCCATCTATCTCTGTCTTTATAGTATCTATCTGTCTATCTTTAGTGAGAGATGATGTTTGGGCAAACACTGGTCTGGTGTCTCCTCTTGGGTTATGATGCATTTATGATGTATAAATGAAGGGTCGTTAAACCATAATATTTAACCTATGAGTCTTTAATAGTTATGTTTGCATGTTACTCTTTCCTTCATTTACATTTTAGTTTTACTCTTTTTATTTTTTTATTCATTCATTTATTATTGTTTTTTTTAACTACTTATGGTAGACCCAGGGTGTGAATATGTGCTCTGATGAGGATTTGATTCAGGAAGTGCTGATGATGCCAAAGTTCCACAATTCACTACAAATACTTTTTTTTTCAAATTATATTCTCATTGTAATTTTTACATAAAATGAACGAAAATATGAATTTCTTTAATGAATTCTTAACTTGACTTGTATTGTCTCAAAATATTTATCACATAAATGCTGTTCTTTTGAACATAAATGAATATTTTGTGGAAGTTCTGACATTTTTATTAAACAGCATCAGAATGGTTGTAAACACTGTTAAACATAATTAAGTCTTTAAATTGCACTTAAGCTAAATACTAACTAGAGAAATGTTATGCACAATCAATCACGTCAAAGACAAAAGAAAATGAGAAATTAGTTACTAAAACTATTAAATTAAAATGTTAATCTTGTCTTTCAAACTTGAAAACTATTTGACAAAAAAAGTAATAATTGTATTGTAAAGTAAGAATAATTTTGTCTCTAACTTTATATATGGTGTCCAAACGCAAACGCCTGCTATCTGAAATTTTCTTACTAAAATGAGCATTTTTTTTTTTTTTCAGAATTCCGTAGTTTCAGTAATTTTCACTTTTATTGTGATTTGAACATTGTTCTTTCCTTTATATTTATATGACTGAACAGGAGGCTGAGAAAAATGCTTACTTTAGAAGAACAATTAAAGAGTTCAGATGCAAAAAACTATACATTTCTTCTGAAATGAGCACTGTGTTTGTTCAGTTATTAAATTCTAAAATGTAAAAATATTTTCTACAACCAGGCCATTAAAAAAACAATTCTTAGCCTTTAGATCTGTATAAGTCTGAAACTTTATTTATAATGGTCTTAACAAGGTCTTAAATTGAGGTCTTAAATAAACGATAATATTGTTTCTTGACCACAGGGTTTCTACAGGTTGCACAGTGTTTGAAAACCAGTGTGCTGCTTAATATTTGATTTCAGAATTATTTTAATAATGATATGTTCAAAAGAACACTTATAAAGTCCATTTCAAATCAGAGTATTAATTTATTTCAAACAACTTGAGGTGAATTGGAAGAATTGTCATTGGCACATGTTCTCACCCCTCTATGAGAAGTGTGCTCTGTGAAGTGCTCAGCAGCTGATGTGTATATGAGAGCAGTGCTGAATGTTGAGCTTTGTGGACTGACTGTGGCTCATTGTGCTGTAGCTCAATCCTGAAGACTACAGCTCCTTGGTTGGAGTGAGTGATCAGGGCCGGAGTTTCATTCAGCCTAAAGAGTGGCTTTGTCTGTAGGGGGAGCCGCTCCAGGTAAGCTCCCTCGATGCATCTGTGTGACCTGAAGCCATGGCTTGTGCATGGACTAATCCAGTAACGCTCTTTCTTTTCTTCTGATTCCTAGATCTTCACTCTCTGCTTCTTGGATGATTAGTCTCAGAATGCTTTAATCATCCTGTTTTAAACTTGCTGTAATAATAATAATATTAATAATGCTTCTCTCTGATTTGACTAATTGCTTTGGGTTTTGAATGTCTTGTTTATGTATTCCTTGCGTTCTAGAAGTCTTCTGTCTTTGCGAGGGTCTCCTTTTGAATGGTTCTACTCTATAGTGGCTGTGCTAATATATTCTCTCATTCCTTTTCAGCTGATTTGACCGACTTGGTATTTATTGTGTGTCCTGGCTTCATGCAAAATGAATAATTCAAAATCAAATCCGTTTCTCTCCTTAGCTGCTCTCTGTGTGTGCAGGTGGATGGATCTTGACTTTTATTGACCTGATTGTGATGTATTCCGGTGGTGACTTATTATTATTCATTCATATTCTTATCTATATAGGGCCACCACTGGAATATATGAAAGCTCATTTTCACCACAGAATTTGAAAATATTTCAAGCTAAATAGGACCTCTCTCATAATACTGACTTTATTTTGCACAATTTCAAGTTTATCTGGCAAGTTTTGGGTTTCTTGCAATTCCTAAAATGCTGAAAGTTAGTTATGGGAGATATAACCTATTAACTCTGATAATTGAAAAATAGAATAAAACTACAAATATGAACTTTTTCTGCAATAAAAACATCTCTATCTCTTATCTTTTATTCTGCAGATTAGATAAGTCAAGATATAAACTCATGAATCGCTAGTTTATCTCTCCAAATACATATACTCCAAAGTGTACACTATCTGATTAAAGTCTTGTTGTTGATCACAGAGCAACAAACAATAATTTGACTTCTAGTTGATCATTTGGAAAAGTGCAAGATCGTAGATTTATTCAATGAATCGTCTGTTGAACTGCATCTTAATCATCACAAATACTGCAAAAGGCCTGTTAAAACCCACATGAACCCAATATTCTCAAAAAAATCTGTCAGGTTTGGTGAAGGAAAAACCATGGTTTGGGGTTACATTTCAGTATGAGGGCATGCCAGAGATCTTCAGAGTAGATGGCAACATCAACATCCTGAGGTATCAAGACATTTGTGCTGCCTATTACATTACAAACCACAGGAGAGGGCCAATTGTTCAGCAGGATAGCTCTCCTTCTCAAACTTCTGGAACACCTTGACCTTTGCTTTCAGGAACTTTGAAGTGGCGCGCTAACAGAATTGGCCTGTCCAGTCACCAGGCATAAACATTATTGAGCAAATCTGGGGTAAGATGGAGGAGGCATTGAAGATGAATCCAAATAATCTTGATGAACTCTGGGAGTCTTGCAACAACGCTTTCTTTGCCATTCCAGATGACTTTATTGATAAATTATTCGATTCATTGCAGAGATTTATGGATTTAGTCCTCCAATCTTTTTTCCCCACTGCACCATGCCTTTATATTCTATTCTGGACATTTTTTCTATTAAGTTACAAGATTTTTGTCTAAGCAAAGTCAGACCTTACTGTCCTAATTAAACAGTCAAAAGTCGAGGCATGATCATATTTTATTTTGGTAAAATAATCTAAAGTTAAAGTAATCTTGATTCTTTTGCCTTTCATATAAGCCACTTCAGATACCAAATGATCAACTAGAAGTCAAGTTATTAGTTGTAGTTCCTAAATCTTAGATTGGTGACAAGACTTTTGTCACGTAGTGTATATTTTATTCCCCTTCCCTGAACACGAATCCTCACAGGAAACAATCAGCATTTTTTAAAAATGTTTTTAAAATACTTAATTTGTAATTTTATAAACCCTTTTCCTGCATGGGGACCAAAACCATCTCCACACAAGGTCATATAGTCCACAAAATGTGAGGAATAAAGTAGAATAGGATGCTCCTAAAATGCAAAAAGTCAGAGTTGAGAGACTTCAATAGACAAGAAATATTAACCATTTAAATGTTGCAGTTCAGATTTTTTTGTAATACTTGGATTACAGTACTTGTAATGTTCAAGTAACATTGATTACTTGTGATGTAATATTGAGAATTAAGAAATAGTCCAATTCTTATTATCTCTTTTAAATTGGTTTATAAATTGCTATTCTGAGATTTCAAGTTACAATTTTGAGACAAAGTTATTATTACCTTTTTAAATCATATTCTTAATTTTTTTAAATCCTGTGGCTGAAGCGAGCTCTTGTAGGAGCATATAAAGTCCTCCTCATTATTTTTGTTGTTGTTGTTGTAGCTCCAGGCGGACTCGGTGCTCGTGCTGTATAACTGGAGTGGTCAGCGCAGCGGGGAGGCGCTGGTGACCTTCCCCAGTGAGAAAGCAGCAAGACGGGCTGTAGCCGAATGCTCCAACATCCCCCTCTCTGGACACCCCATCCACCTGGCCTGCTGCGAGTGAAGATGAGTCTCAACCCTTTCTCCCTCAGAAACTGCTGATCTTGATATCCAGTAGTTCAGAAGGAGACCTGATGCAGAAGCACTGTGTATATGTACGTTCATATATACACAAACAAAAGCTAAACATCTCAGTAGCACTGCCTCACCGCTCCTCTCTCTGTGTGTCTGTGAGGGACAATTCCATGCTCAACTCTCTCTGGTAATGTCAAGATCTTTTCTGCTAGCCTGTAACCCTCGCAAGCCATTGTTTTGTGGAATAAGAGGTTTTCTTGTTGGTAAGACAGTCGGGCTTGACTGCAGTCTTTGCCGTGCACTAGGAAACCAAACCGCAATGCAATACATTGTTTTTTTTGCCGTTACGGATAAAGGAATGTTGTGAGATTGTAAAAAGCCAAATATATTGTTGATCGGACTGTTATGCTGCACATACAGTAGGATTTCAAAAGGTGTGATGTTTTTTTTCCCCCAGTGTACTGCTGAACATATGCCTTATTTAATAGAGATCAGACCAAGTATGTACTTCGTAGACTTGCATGAACTGATTTTTTTAGTTTAATCCATTCGGGGAGGGGGGCGAAGTGAAATATTTTTATTTAAAGCAAAAGATGAGTTGTTCGTGTGACCGCCGTGCTTTAACGCTCATTCTTTAGAGGAACGTAAGAGGTGTGTGTTTTGTTGCTTCAGTCTGACCCATCAGTTTATGTGAAGACTGAACGGCGCTGTGCTCTTACCTTGTTTTGGACTTTGCAAAGATTTTGGATATGTGGTCTACATCACTTCTTTTATTGATGACAGACTGATTAAATCATGAGCTTTATTATTAATATTATTATTGTTTTTTTTTTTTTTCTTTGTGACTACATTTACCTGGAGTGCAATACAGGCTGAACAAAATATCACACCTCTCTAGTGAAAGAAGGGACATTTTGTTTCCCTGCTATGTATGAAATGTGTATGAATGTGTAAATGTGACTCTTATATGCAACAAATAAATTGATTTTGCTCTGACAACAGCATGTCAAAGTAGTGATGTCAAATCTCTTGGACAAACTGTCAAAACTTGTAGTAGTCTAAAGTAACAAATTATAGCCTTTCCAGGAAAACTTTTTCTTTTTACTTATTTTTACTAAGTAGTTAGTGTACTTTGACCTGACTCTTTTTATTACTGTATTCCTTGAATTGCGTTGGGAAGACCTGAATCCTGAAGGGATTGTGTGGAACCCTACATTTTTTACAGTGTGCAAAATAATTAGACAGATTTTTGCTATTTAGGCTACATAGATTTGACTCCGCATGTATAAGCATCATTCTACTTTCTGTCTGCTTATTATGCAGCCTAGACTCATTGGACATATCTGCCCTGGACAGTATTTTTGAGAACTGACAAATATGTACTCTGTGAAAAATGCAACTGCAAGACAACATAGTCCAATCTCAAATATGTTAGTGGGGCACGTTTTAATAACTTCATACGTGCCATACTTGTAAATCCAAAAGGGGGTATGCACTTTTACTGCATTGTTATTATTGGTGCGCATCTTAAAGATTGTTAGCTTAATTTACATAAGAACATTTTACATGTAGTCAATGAATAGCACACAAATAATCTTACACTTAGAAAATGAAAGCTCCTATAAGCAGCATTAAGTGAAATACATTTTACAGCGTAATGTTACTTTATACTAATACTTTAAGACTTTAAAACAGATATTTTTACCCCAGTAAACTGCCAGTGCTTGCCCAAAACTCTTATGCAAGTATGATTTTTTTAGTACTCTTTTCACCACTGATTGTTTGATAGGCCAGTCAATATAAATACACATTAAGCTGATATGAAAGGTGAATTGTAAAACATTTTTTATAATTTTCATGTAATTATTATTTTTTAATTATTATTATTATTATGATTTGTTTTTCATGAAGGGTTGTTTTGCGGGTCTTAAGGGATGTGGCAAATTGAGCTTCAATCCTTTTGTTACCATAAGATGAACTAGAGAGCTGAGCCTTCAACATACAATTACTGATGATGGGTCACTGAGTTAGCAGAAAATAGTGCACTGGTGATTCCACTCATATGCAGAATATTGCAGTTATTAATACAGTTAGAGGCTTATTAAGCATATGTGAATGACTAAAATCTGAGCATCTGTCAACAATGCCTCTACTAATAACAATCTAAGCTTAATCTAACATTTATTCACTGTTTAATTATGCATTAAATAGATCAGAATCAAATTAGCTTTACAAGTCATTTCAACTTGAAGAAATTAAACCGATTGAATCATTACAAATTGTATAAATTAAGTTGTAACCTGATTTTATTTTATTGTCAGAACAACTCTGATGACAACGGCATGGTTTTGTATGAGTGTGTGTGTGCACCTGTATAGAGTGGAGAAAGTGTTGTCTTTAACTTAACTTTTGGAAATGGTTAGTGTTTTACCCTCTTGTTTAATATGACCCTTTGCCCATTTTATTGTTTGCTCATCAGCCAATCAGAATTGAGCATTCAAAAATTCTGTAAAGAGCCTCGAGTATCAAAGTTGACATTCAAATGTTATACAGCATGATCAGTAAAGTAGTACCGTTTTAAAAGGATTCTTTAGTTCCCATTATGGCGTCCTGTTTTCCATATCTTTGACATTATCCTAAGGTAAAACACAGACCAATCACACATAATTTCCTGTCATAAAACACACAGACAGACTGACAGAGGGAGAGACGTTTGGGCATTTATTCTTTTTATTGATACACTACCTCAGAAGAGTCTACGCCGCACGCTGTTCCCTTTGAATAAGTTCAAAAAGCACTGCAGTCTTAAAAATTACAAAATGTTAAATACAAAATGTACATGAAACAACAATACAAGGCTCCGTAAACATCAGCTGAACCTGTACTTTTATTTATTTTACAAACCATCCAAGCTACCCAAAAAGGAATGACATCCAAGTATCAAAAATAGAGTTCTGGTGTCGGCGGCGTCGTCGTCTCCATGTAAAAGGGGAACACATTGTTCAATCTTTGGTTTCTGGAGAATGAAAATAGGTGCTTATTTAGGGATCCATCCCAGAACTCACATCAGATTTTTAAAAAATTTGTTTATTTTGCTTGTTTTGCTGTCTTGATTCACAAAAAAAAAAAAAAAAACTATTCCTAAATCCAACTCAAACTTATGACACACATTCTCTACATTATTTTTCAAAAACACAAGTTAAGGCTTTCCTACCGTATGTCTGATAGTTTCAATTAAATAGTCAAAAGTGGCATTGAAAACAGCGGTCACTATACGTAAGGGTTTTACATACAACCAAATATATACTTACATACTTTATAGATGTATCAAACAAACCTGGTTTTTGTATGTTTGCAAATGTCAAACCATCATGTATTTCCTGTCCTTGCATAGCCTAATGTATATCAGTGTGCTTTTACACCATTCAAATTCAAAGAGGTTCTTCAAGAAATTCCAAACAAATATCTACAGTTCACTGTTTACAAACGGACAAAAGCACATCCGCACAAACAAACAAACAAACAAACAAACGGTTAAGACGCTTTGCTGTGTGCATCAACACACACACACACACAAACTCCTGTCTGGCAAACTATAGTCTACATGGAGAAGCATCTCTACAGCATCTAGTCTAGAGGCATCAAGGTTTTTTTTTTTTTTTTTTGTCTTTTCTCTTTTCTCTTTTAAAGGCAGAAGGCAGGTTTATAGTGCATAGCAGGTTTTTTTTTTCCAAACATAGTTAACAGTCATAGTTACTGCTGTACTGTATGTCTCAAAGACTGAAAAAAGAAACAACAATGTATTAAGTGAATTGCTTTAAGGCAAGAAGCCGATCCACAAATGTGTCTGAATTAGTCTGAACCCATGTCTGCTCTGGCAGTGTGTGAAGAACTGAGCAAAGCTCGATGGGGTTCTGTCCACACAGGGAAAAAAACTAAGCAAAAATAATAATAATAACAATTTTAAACCTCTATGAACTCAACAGGGACTCAAACTGAGAGCTGCTTTCAAGTCACTCTATTGTGTAACAGATAGTCTACTTGTTGATTGTCAGCATGCAACCTTTAATAAGACCACCTCCCTTTCCAAAAAGTGAAATATGGTCATTTCCCTGACTTCAAACCTGCAATGTTTTTCTTGAAATTGTCCAATGCATAAATTCTTCTCTAATCAAAGGCACAAAGTGTGTCTCAGCATAGTCAACATATGTTTGAGTTCAATGAACACAAAGCCCATATAAAATATAGAGATGCACTGATACCATATTAAATAAAAGAATAAAAAGTTATTCAGAGTGATATCTGGCCTTACTCTGAAATGAAATATCCCCACAATTTTGACAGAATGAAAAACCATGACAAAAAATAGACCATTTTGATGGACGTAAACAAAAAACAACGGTCCCAACGTATATCCTGTTTTACATTTTTAATTTCAAACGCTTCAGAGCATTCAAAAAGAGCCACATATTGATAAATGTTATGATATAGCCGTTTTAACATTTAGTTATAATTAAATTGCCTCTTGTTACAGTTATGAAATAGTTTGGCTCAAGCAGGAAATGTTCCAATGGACCAATGACAAGACCACATTGAAATGGTCTACAACAGTTTACTCTAAACTAACCTCTGATTATTCAATTTTCTTAATCCAAACATGATCAATTCAACTGGTTCTGATAACTGACTGATTTGAAATAATTGTGGTAATGCAAATAGTTGTTCGTTAATCATCCAATATGATTATTGTCTGGTAAATCGATGCATCTCGGAGAGAATATACAGATATGGCTAGTAATTAAAGACCACTTGAAAATTCTCAGAATGTGCTGGATATACTAGCTGAGTTTGAGTGGAATGTTCATCTGTTTATGATTCTGTAAAGGTCATTTATTTCAAACTACACAAAGAAATTGTCATTTTATTAAGAAAATAACAATGAATCTAAATCAGAGCTTCAAACCAGGCCCGTGGCAACCTTTGATTTGGTCCACCAAGCAAGAAGAGCAAGAATGAAAGGGATGCTTTAGAGATTGTCATTTCAAATCTACTCTAACCTTTCCTTTGTTTGTTTATTGTTTAAAACTGACTCAAATGAAATGTTTCTATTAAATGCTGCAAATGAATGACATTTCATTTAAATGTACATACGGTCACCTGACTTTGGTGAGCAAATCAAGGCAGATTCTGCTTGACGAGTGTACCTGATCTCCGTTGCTTTATAAATGTGATTGTTTATGCTTTTATTGTAATAGGTTAACATTTGAAAAGTTATACTACATTAGCTAATATGATTTAAAGTCATTACAAAATAAATAAGGAAATTACCCATAGCAACCTTAATGTAATATAGTTTTGTTTTTCTTTATATACAGTCAGGACCATAAACACTGGGACACAGTTCTAACATTTTCCTCTCTGCACCAACACAAGCCAATGTGCTGTAATCCAGGGGTTCCCAAACTTTTCAGGCCGCGACCCCCAAAATGACAATGCTAGTGACTCGCGACCCCCAATATCCTCTGAGGTTGTTATAAATACAGAAACCTTGCATGCAATGGTGCACACACACCAATGGACCCAAGTCTATTCTTCTTTTAATTTTTTTAATGTATGAGAGCTGTAAATGGGCCACAAAGTTTAACCAGGTGTTATGAAATCTGCTGCATCTGACGCTATTGCTGTGTCTTTAATACAATGTAATTACCGCAGGGGTTGCAATCCAATAGAAGTAATAACTATAAGCTACTATAGTAACTATATATGGTATAAACGACTATTTTTTCCTCTTCAGTAGGTTATGGATAAAATATGGTAATTCTTATGGCTTAATAAAAATAAATAGATTTTTGGAAACCACCAGGCGACCCCCCCCTTCATTGTCCCGCGACCCCTCGGGGGGTCCCGACCCCCACTTTGAGAACCATTGCTCTAATCAAAGGGTACAAGTGAGAGGGAGGCACATATGCAAACTTGTAATTCCTGCACCGTTCATCTGATTTGAATGTAAATACCCTCAAATTAAAGCTGACAGTCTGCAGATCAAGTGAGAATTGTGAGAAGAATTGTGTGGATGTCCCAATATTTATGGACCTGACTGGACACAGCCCATGACTCTCAATGAAAAAGTGGGTAGCCCTGATCTAAAAAAAATCGTTTCATTTTGAATGAATATTATGGTTATTCTACCAAACGTAGACTTTTCTGAACTCTACTGACGCTAAAAACAACTTTGTAATTGTTTTGTTTAAAAACAAATATAAGCATGGCAAAAAAACCATGGCACCTTTGTGTTTAAAGGGGAAAAAGAAGTCAAAATTAGCATGGGGTTCCTCTGGGTGCTCCGGTTTCAACAGTCCAAATATATCCACTATAGGTGAATTGGGTAAGCTTAAGTGTGTATGGATGTTTCCCAGTGATGGGTCGCAGCTGAAAGGGCATCCCCTGCGTAAATCGTGCTGGATAAGTTGGCGGTTCATTCCGCTGTGGCAAACTCTGATTAATAAAGTGACTAGGCCAAGTAGATAATGAATGAATGAAAGTCTAAATTAGATTTGGTTTTAGATTTTGAAGAAATCCTCCTTTCAGAATAAAACAATGTTAACAACAATTCATAAACAGACACCAAGAGAGAATTTTCAAGTGGACTCTTCATATTTGCTCATATTTATATATTTATATATATCCTATATGGGCTTTATTATCTCCAGACCTTCAGATGGTCTGCGGTCAGGAACTCATCGTCCCGTGCAACTGTACAAAACAACATAATTCCTTCAACAATTCCCTTGACTTTTTGTTTTTAAAGCGCAGCACTGTGACAGTAAGATCGAACCAACACCATTCACAGCACTCCAAAACACAAGATGAAGCTCGGCTACATTTTACACACACCAGCGGCGTCCTCACTGAAAAGTAAAAAGACTACAAGTTCTCAGCAGAAAGCCTGTTCAAAATCACTGCTACTACATAAGGCATTTGTTCAACCTGAAGAGGAAACGGGCCAATTATTAAACAAGATTATCTACAGCTCAGAAAGGTCACTAAACACCTGGAATGTTGCATATTTCTCGCTACAGACTCAGCGCCAGTCCTCTAGGGGGCAGCACTGGCAGAATGCAGCGTTTTTTCGCTGGTAAGAAGGCCTGACGTGTGGCCACCCATCACACCTTGAGTGGACTGCATATATGTCGGCGTTCAAATGCATAGGGTCAGTCTACAAGCTACATATAATACATCATCCTGTCAGAGAGCCCTGAATTATTGGTTTATTTCCAGGAGAACAGCACACTGCATGTGTGTGTTGACGGTACACCTGATTTTGTGTGCATGCGTATAGTTTATACCCCAACTCATTTACAGGCCGAGCTGTGTTCATGATTGTGGAGGAAGCGGCCACTGCTGCTCAGACTGCTTCAGGATTGATGGTTTTTGGATGATTGGTGTGTTCAGGGTGAAACTGGAGGCCGGCGCTGCAGTCCTGGGAGGATTGTCAGAGTTTACTGTGGTGTTTGGAGGGCTAGGATTGACTGTGTGCTGATGGAGATCCTCCATGAGCCCCTGGGGCCTGAGACATGTCTCTGCCGATGATCTCATTCACTGAAACACACACATAAGGAGATTATTGATAAGGGAAATACAGAGACTGATATGGTTGGAGACACAATTAAAATGTTTGAAATAAATGTTGTAGTAGATACTGTAATAATCTGAAAAAATGACTGATTTACTTTTAAAATGATTCTTCTTTTCATATGTTAGAAACTGCTCGTCATTCCGGCAATGGTAAAGTTTCATTTTCAACATCATTTCTGCAGTTTACAGTGTAAAAATCCCACAGAGATGATGTTTTTGGAGTAAAACATTGTTGAGTTTGGCAAGAGATTTTTATATTTAATCTATAACCCGTACTAGTATCTATTTTGATGTTACTAGTGCTTATTTTTTAGATGGTATCTTTTCCATTAAGAACTTGTGCTTATTCTTTAGATACTAGTGCTTTAAAAAAAATATAGCTTACTCATTAGACACCAGTTCTTTTTATTAGATACTAGTACTCATTCATTAGATACCAATTAAATAGATAGTAGTACTTTTGTACTGTATTAGATACTAGTACTCATTCATTAGAAATTAGTATCTGTTTAATAGAAATCCTAAATAGATAGATGTGACTGTTAAATAAACACTAGTAGTTATTCATTAGTAGTATTTAATTTATCAGACACTAGTATCTTTTATTATTACTAGTAACAATTCTTATTTTACAGTTCTGTTTTTTTTACTCGTCTTATGTTACGACTAGTCCAAATGGAAAGTAGAGTTCAATTAAAAAGTTTACTCATCATTTTTTACAAGCAACATTTCAAACAATTACTAGTGTTTAAGAAATGTGTACTAGTATCTTTTAAATAAGTTGTAGTATCTATTTCATAAGCAATATATTTATTAAATAGAAGCTAATATCTAATGAATAAGTGCTAGTACAGAATACTAGTATACTTTCAGTTGAAGTCAGAATGATTAGCCCCTCTGTTTATTTTTTCCCCAATTTCTGTTTAACGGAGAGAAGATTTTTTTTTCAACACATTTCTAAACACAATAGTTTTAATAACTCATTTCTAATAACTGATTTATTTTATGTTTGCCATGATGACAGTAAATAATATTTGATTAGATGTTTTTCAAGACACTTCTATACAGCTTAAAGTGACATTTAAAGGCTTAACTAGGTTAATTAGGTTAACCAGGCAGGTTAGGGTAATTAGGCACATTATTGTATACCAATGCCTTGATCTGTAGACTTTCGAAAAAATTGTTTAAAGGGGCTAATCATTTTGACCTTAAAATGTTTTTATTCTTATTAAAAATTGCTTTTATTCTAGCTGAAATAAAACAAATAAGACTTTCTCCAGAAAAAAAAAATAAGATCAGGCATACTGTGAAAATTTCCTTGCTCTGTTAAAAATCATTTGGGAATAATTTAAAAAGGGGGGCTAATAATTCTGACTTCAACTGTAAGTATTAGTATCTATTAATTAGGTATTAGTATCTAATGATTGAGTACTAGTATTAATTAGGTATTAGTATCTAATGAATGAGTACTAGTATCTAATACATAAGTACTAGTATCTATTATTTAAGAACTAGTATCTAATTACTAAGTACTAGCACCTAATGATTAACTACTAGCACATAAAAATATGTACTAGTCCCAGATGGAATACACACTTGTCAAAACTAAATAGTTGACATCTCAATGACAGATCCCATAGAAATCAATGGAAAATGTTTTAAATTTGTCACTAGTAACAACAGAATAGTTACTAGTCACAATTAAAATAAGTTCTGGTATCTAATGAAGAAGAGCTAGAATCTATTTAATAAGAATTAGTAATGAATAAGTACTAGTATCTATTTAACAGGTACTAGTATCTAATAAATAAGCACTAGTATTTAATGAATTAGTAGTAGTACTAAATGGAAAAGATACTAGTACCTAAAAAATAAGCACTAGTAACATAAAAATAGATACCAGTACAGGCTATTGATTAAATGTCAAAATGGCTTGCCATATTTCAAAAGATGATTATCTTTTATTATAAAGCACTCTGTAAACATTACAATTTATTGTTTATGAATTTTTATCTGTTCATCAAGAATGCATTTATTAATCTTAAAAACAACAAATGCAGCAAAACAGTGAAATATTTTCTTTCTAAAATAAAACACATTTTAAATTAAATCTTTGATAAAAATGCATCATTAGTGGCAAGATGTTTTTTAAAATTACAAAAACAGTTGCGTAAATGTCACATTTGATCAAGTTAATGCATCCTTGTTTAATGAAACTTCAGAGTTTTGAGTGGTAGCACATGCTAGGGAATTTTCATATTGATCATCTGAAAACACTTCCTATAACTGACCACTGAATGGCAGTGTTGAGCTGTGTAAAGTCGAGGACAGACAACATCCTCGAGGGTTAAGAAAAATAAGACAGTCAGATGGAGGTATGAAGAAGAAAAACAACTTTGGTTTGTGAATTCTCAAATCTGACATCCTCAACTGAGACATTATTTTTTTAACAGCAGCAGTCTTACTAAGATGACACAAACCCCACTATAAAACCATCCTCTCCACTTCTTTAACTACCAGGCTTTGATGCAGGCAGTTGCATCAGTTCATTATGAGTTTAATGGTCTTTGAATACATTTCCTTTAGCCTGTCGGCTGGGGCTTTTAGAGCACTATGAAGAGGCTGCATAAAATCGATCCATTGTTAAAACACATGTTCTACATCCCAGAAGACAGTGCAGCAAGTGTGGTAATTACTTCAGCAGGCCAGGAGACTATAGTTCATCCAAAAATGAACTCACTTTCTCAATTTCAACTAATGCCTTATACATTTCTTTTTTCCAGCTAAACATATAAGATATTATGCAGAATGTTAGAAACCAGTAGTCATTGGCTGTCTGTTGTATCATTTATTATTTATCTTAATATTTTTTTATTATAATTTGTTTGCATTATTTTCCTGATTGTTGATTTTATTTTGTGAATTTCATGTTGTGTTGGGTATATAAGTTTAAAATAAAAAAGGTTCAATGACAAAAAAAAAAAAAAAACTGTAGTCATTGAAATGTATAGTAGGATATAAAAATAAATAGTATGGAAATGTTTTCAGCATATCTCCAATTAAGTGTTGGGTAAGATAACTAAAAAAAGTAAAGAATTAATAATTACATAATTAAAATACTTTTCTAATTACTTTTGTCTAAAATGTAACTTAATTACCAAGTAATTTAAATACTTGACTTAGTACTACTTAAATTTTTTTTTTTAATCTTCTATACACTCACTTTGCTGCTTGTTTACACTACTTATTTAAAATGAGTTAAAACATTGCAACTCTTAAAGTGTTTTGTGGGGTCAACATAATTGTTTTATGTTCAATCAACTTAAATTAGTAAAAATTAGTTAAGTTAATTAGTAAAATTTAACTTAATCTATTTGTGTTGGGACAACATGAAGAAATTGTGTGGAACCCAGCATGTTTTACAGTGTATGCATACACGATGGGAATTAAACTGTTTTAATACTTTACATTTGAGCCAAACAAAACCTTTTAATCAGATTTTTTTTAAAGATTAACACTTAAAACTAATTGTAAACATTGTATGCATCAATCCAAAACAATTACAATTAATAAAAGCAAATGTCTTATTGCAAGTGCAGCTCTAACATTCTTTGTTAGAGATAATGTGAAATAAATTCATTATAATATATATTTATAATTATATCATAATTCATTCATTAACTCATTTATTCATTTTTCTTCAGCTTAGTCCCTTTATTAATCTGAGGGTCACCACAGCAGAATGAACCACCAGCTTATCCAGCATATGTTTTACGCAGCAGATGTCCTTCTAGCTGCAACCCATCACTGGGAAACATCCATACACACTTATTCGCTCACATACACTATTGACAATTTAGCTTATCCATGTCACCTGTCCCACTTCTCTTTGGACTTGTGGGGAAACCAGAGCACCGGAGGAAACCCATGCAATCACTGGGAGAACATGAAATGCCAACTGACCTAGCCCAGGTTCAAACCGGCGACCTTCTTGCTGTGAAGCGATTGTGCTACTCACTGCGCCACCAGGCTACCCTATATAATAATTATATATCATACTCGATATATTTATCATAATATTATTTTTATCAATAAAATTTTCATAATCTCTCTCTGTCTCTCTTAAACATCATTTGGGAAATATTTAAAAAAGGGGAAAAAAATGGGTTAATAATCCTGATTTTAACTGTACATATATTATTAACTGTAACTGTATATATAGAATTATTTTTTAAAGTATGTCCAAATGTCATGATAAATGTTTTGTCAAAAATTTTTTGTTATCTTGCCAAATATATTTGTATAACAAAAAAATTACTTAAACTGTTGAAATGATGTTCAGTATTTAAAGGAAGTACATTATACTGTAAATAAACACTGTAACTGAATGACCTAAATAAAAAGTAATCCCATACTTTAATTTTTTTTAGAAAAAGAAAATTAATTTAATTGCAGTAACCAGTTACTTTGTAAGTAATTACACCCAACACTGCTACTGTTTTCAACAGACGTAAGAAACTCAAACAGGTTTGGAACAAGTGCAGGGTGAGTAAAAGATTTGGGTGAACTATGCCTTTCAGCAAGCACCCAAAGTTTTTCAACAGGTCATCTCTGCAGTCTTCTGATTAATGCTTTAAAAATGCGTTTGATTCTCCCTACGCTCTACTGAATAGCAGAACGCTATGGCAAGCACTACAAAATTGATGTAAAATCAGTCAACAATCATAATGCAAAGGTTCATCCTATAAAAACCAACACAGAAGAACTAGGGCAAAGACGGCTCCTCGCTTTGTGGAAAAAAGAATCGTTCCTCAGGATAGATGGCAGCTTTTTGAAACGCTCACCACAGCATTCAATCACCCGATTTCCAGGCTTGTCATCGGAGTGAAAAAGCCCACATCTATAACAGGCGATGACAAATCTGAGGGAAAAGCTGAGGAGCAGAGAAACAGGTTTGACTGTTG